CCACTGCACTCTAGTCTGGGCGACAGAGTGAGACTCCAACTCAAAAAAAAAAAAAACTAAGACAGCAGCACAAATATACATTTTTGAGTGCTACATTTACATCATTCAGAATCAGCTGTCAGCTGTATATAATTCTTAGGCAGAAAAGTTGTAATAAGATGGAAGATACTTCATAAATTTTATTGTATACCACAATTACCTGGAGATCTTAAAATGCAGATTTTGATTCAAGAGATCTGGGATGAACCTGAGTTTCTGCACCCTCAACAAGCTCACCAATAACGCCAAGGCCTCAGGTCCAAAGGCCACACTTTTGAATAGTAGAGAAGTACAATAGATGACACGGAATTGAGAGTTTTTTATGTAACTTATGGGTTGTAACATAATATCAAGAATAGCAGCAATACTTTTTTTTCTGAGTCAGAGTCTCACTCTGTTGCCCAGACTACAGTGCAGTGGCATGCTGCTCATGGCCACTGCAGCCTCGGCCTGCTGGGCTTAGGCAATCCTTCCACCTCAGCCTTCCAAGTAGCTGGAACTACAGGCGTGCACCACCACGCCTGGCTAATTTTTTAATTTATTGTACAGATGAGGCCTCGCTAAGTTGCCCAGGATGGTCTTGAACCCGTGGGCTCAGGCAATCTTCTCACCTCGGTCTCCCAAAGTACTAGGATTATAGGCGTGAGCCACTGCACCTGGCCAGCAATACTTTTTGACCATTTACTATATACTACATACTATGTTGGCACTTTTAAATAAATAAATGAATGCATAAAACCAAAAACAAACCTCTGAGAGAAAGAAGAGAATTCTTCTCTTTAATGGGAATATTTTGTGATATTTATTTTTTGTATTTATATATCCAGTAAATAGTAGAGCTTGGGTTTTACTCAAGTGTATCTAAGAATTTATCTCAAAGAGACACAGGAGAACTACAAAACATTGATGAAAACTTGGAGAGAACATAAACAAATGAGACATATCCCAAGATCATGGATTGTAAGACTCAACATTGTTAAATGATCATATTACCCAAAATATCTATATAGACAACCCTAACAGAATTTTTAGAGCATGGTTCATAACTTCAAAGTGTGATGAAAACAAGTTATGCATGCAGCAACACAAGATGATCAAGTTGCAAATTTAATACTCACACATACACAAAATTGGTAACTACACACATTAAAAGTGATAGAGTAGATTATGTTTGTGTAAATAAAACAAGAAATATTTTGTTTCTATAAAATTGTAGAACCTTTGTGGATACTTTTTTGTTTTAAAGACAATGATATGAAGTTTCATAAGACACACTGTTTCAGAATTTGATATTTTTTTCCATTTTTGGTTTCATTTAGTCTCTGTGCTGTGCTATATTTTAGGATATCAAGACACTTGGGCATATTAATTACATGTGCATTCTTCTTCACTGTCTCAAAAAGAAACCACAGAGGTAATAAAGAGGATGTCTCTAAAAATTTGATGAACTCACAGCTGAATTCTATAAGACTTTCAAAGAAGAACTGGTAGCAATTTTACTGAAGCTATTCCACAAAACTAAAGAGAAAGGAATTATTCATAACTCATTCTACAAGGTCAGTATCACTCTGATACCAAAGCCAAGAAAAGACACAACAAAAGAAGAAAACTACAGATCAATATCCCTTATGAACAAAAATCTTCAATAAAATGTTAGCAAACCAAATTCAACACACATTAAAAAACCAAAAAATATACCACAACCAAGTGGGTTTTATCCCAGGAATGCAAGGGTGGTTCAACATATACAAGTCAATAAACATGATTCATTATATAAACAGAATTAAAAACAGAAAACATATCATCATCACAATAGGTGCAGAAAAGCATTTCATAAAATCCAGCATCCCTTCATGATAAATACCCTCTGCAAAGAGGGAACATTATTCAAAATAAGAAAAGCCGTATAGGACAAACCCATAGCCAATGTTATTCTGAATGGAGAAAAGTAGAATGCACTTCCCCTCAGAACTGAAACAAGGCAAGGATGCCCACTTTTACTACTACTCAATATAGTACTGGAAGTCCCAGCTATAGCAATCAGGTAAGAAAAAGAAATAAAAGGTATACAATTTGGAAAAGAATAAATTAATATCTTGCATGCCAACAACATGATCTTACTGCTACAGAATCCTAAAAACTCTTCCAAAAGATTCCTGGACTTAATAAATGAATTTAGTAGTTTCAGAATACAAAACCAACACACACCAATCAGTAGCAGTGCTATACCATAATAGCAACAACCAGGCTGAGAATCAAATCACTAACTTAATTCCATTTACAACAGCATCCAAAAAGCTAAAATACCTAAGAATATATTTATTCAAGATCATGAAATATCTCTGCAAGGAGAACTATAAAACTCTGAGGAAAGAAACTGTAGAGAACAAAAACAAATGGAGAAACATCCCATGCTCATAAACTAGAAGAATCAACATTGTTAAAATGACCATATTACCCAAAGTAATCTACAGATTCAACACAATCCCTATCAAACTACCAATGTCATTTTTCACAAAATTAGAAAAAAAAAAATCCTAAAATTCATATGGAACCAAAAAAGAGCCAAAATAGCCAAAACAATCCTAAGCAAAAAGAACAAAGCTGGAGGCACCACCTTACCCAACTTCAAATTATACTACAAGGCTGTAGTAACCAAAACAGCATGGCACTGGTACAAGAACACACACATGGACCAAGGAACAGAACAGAGAATCCAGAAATAAACCCAAATACCTACAACCAACTAATCTTCAACAAAGCAGACAAAAACATATACTGGGTAAAGGACACCTTATTCTAAAAATGGTGCTGGAAAATTTGATAGCTACATGCAGAAAAATGAAACTTGATCCCTATCACTCCCTGTATACAAAAATTAACTCAAAGCCAATTAAAGACTTAAAGGTCAGCCGGGCACAGTGGCTCAAGCCTGTAATCCCAGCACTTTGGGAGGCCGAGGTGAGGGGACTGCCTGAGCCCACAGGTTTGAGAACAGCCTGGACAACTTGGCAAGACCTCATATATACAAGAAATTAAAAAATTAGCCAGGCATGGTAGCGCACAGCTGTAGTTCCAGCTAGTTAGAAGGCTGAAGTTGGAAGAATCACCTGAGCCCAGTAGTTTGACGCTGGGGTGGCCGTGAGCATGCCACTTGTACTCCAGCTTGGGCAAGAGTGAGACTCCAACTCAAAAAACAACAACAACAACAACAACAACAAGACTTAAAGGTCAAACCTGAAACCATAATAATCTTAGAAGAATAGGAAAAACTCTTCTGGACATCAGCCTAACCAAATAATCTAAGGCAAAAGTCCCAAAAGCAAATGCAACAAAACAAGTGGGACGTAATTAAACTAAAAAAGCTTCTGCACAGCAAAAGAAATAATCAACAAAGTCAACAGGCAACCTACAGAATGGGAGAAGTTATTTCTAAACTATACCTTTGGCACACGACTAATACCCAGAATACATGAAGAACTCAAACAAATCAACCAGAAAAAAGCAAATAACCCCATTAGAAAGTGGGCAAATGACATGAACAGATGTCTCTCAAAAGAAGACATATGTAGGGCCAACAAACATGAAAAAATGTTCAACATCACTTATCAGGGAAATGCAAATTAAAACCACACTGGACATCAGCCTAAGCAAATAACCTTACACTACACTATTCAGAATGGCCATTATTTAAAAGATTAAATAACAACAGATGCTAGCATGGATGTGGAGGAAAGGGAACGCTTATACACTGTTGGTGGGAGTATAAATTAGTACAACCTCTATGGAAAGCAGTATGGAGATTACTCAAAGAACTAAAAGTAGATCTACCATTTGATCCAACAATCCCACTATTAGGTACCTACCCTAAGAATCAGAGATTGTTATACTAAAAAGACACCTGTACTCTCATGTTCAGCACAGCACATTTCACAATTGCAAAGATGTGAAATCAACTTAATCAACCTAAATGCCTACTGACCGGTTCATGTATAATTAAAATGTGGTATATATACACTATGGAATACTTTTCAGCTATCATACTTTTCAGCTATGGAATACTATGCAGCAACTTGGATGGAATTGAAAAACATCATCCTAAGCAAAAGACAGAGGAGGAGAAAACCAAACACCATATGTTCTCACTTAAAAGTGGGAGCTAAAATGAGGATATGCAAAGACATAGAAAATGGTATAATGCACATTGGAGATACAGAAGAGGGAGGGAAGGAAGGGATAGAGGAGCAAAAAAAAAAAAATTCACCTATTGACTATAATGTGCATAAGTTGGGGTAGGGGTACTCTTAAAATTTTAAAAGTCCAGACCAAAAATTATGT